GTAAAATATTAAATAAACAACACATAAGCATACAATTATTACCTAATGTGACATCAGTAACAGCATATTTCCGAAAAAAAAATACATATGAACGTTGCACTTTAGCAAAAATCAATCAAAAGTTCGATCTTCATCTTTTTCATGATGCATATCTATATGATCATCACAGAACCATATTGAATAAATATTTATACCAAATTTGATTCTACAATAATTATCTTCATTAGCACTTAGAATAAAGATAATGATTAACTACATTCTGATTCTACTGAAGTTGAACCACGATCCGTCACTGAAACTCCATTGTTACTAGATAATTCAGTTAATGTTACTTGAGTTTTACTCATCTGAAACAAAAAGAATAAAGATTTTCATTATTGATGTAATGAAAATATTGAATTAACAAACAATCTATATCTATCTATGTATCTAGAAAAAAGCATAGAAAACAGAATGTTATTAGAAAAAAGAAAAAGAAAGGTTAATCGGCAATAAAATTCATCAAAAGAGCTCGTATTATACATTTTATTCTTCACTGATATTGATACGAATTGATATCCAAACAGATTTTTCGATAAAAAACAAAGTGTAAATTTCGTAAACACAGTGTACTTAGTACACACTGCTTTTGACAACAGTGTGTAAAACAGCGTGTTTTTCTCATTTAGCAAGGGTTTCGTACACTTTGCTTCTGCATCGTACACTTGCTGTTCGGAACCAGCGTTTCTAATAGATATCTGAAACAAAAAGTCAAATGACACTTTATATTTGCAATCAAAGTGTAAAATGACACTTTGTTTTTTTAAACAGAGTGTCACAAAGTTTCCAAAGTGCAGTGTTAGAATTGGATTAAAGAAAAAGAAATATTTAATATAAATTTGTTACAGGTATTCGACTGACAGAGAGGTTCACATCCCGCTCTTGTGAAATTTGCGTTTTTGCCAAGCGAATTCTTCAGCGTTTTATTCAGATTTTTGTTTACTAATTTTCAAAAGGCTACTGTAATCTACGTTATCTGTTGAATCCAGGAGCCTTCCGATCGTGGTCCTGAGTTGTCGATCTCCCCATACTTCGCCTATATCTTGAGACATCGAGGCTAGGAGAGGCAGTTTAACTCTGAAAATACTGATATGAAAGCAAACTTTTCCAGAGATCTTTTTTTGCGAAAAGAAGGTATCTGTTTATCTGTTTCAGGGTAAGTTATTTTTTAAAGACTATTTTTTACGAAGTTTCACATAGATTTTCTCTTGTGAAAAAATAATTTGTTTACAAGAAGAATTTCAGAAAAAAATTATGTTAACTTCAAAGTAAAGCTAAAGTACCACTCCTGATTGAGGCGCTTCTCTCACATGCCTATGTAAGATCGAATAGAAAATATACAGCTTTTAGTAATTAATAGCGTTCGATGGAAAATTCTTTTATCTAATATTTAATAGACGAGATAAAACAAAAAAGAGATAAAAATGGATACTATTTAGTTTACTTAAAACATGAAAAGCATATATATATTCTGTATACAGAACATTGTTTATGGGTGAGGACGATATGTATAAAATAAACTAGTATCCCC